TCTCTCGATTCTTTTCAGCTCGCGAATTCTCTCTCGCAACGCGTTTTGTTTTGTTAATTGTGCATAGTGTTTGGAGAATTATTTGAGATATTCGCTCGTTCGCTCTCACGACTCAAAACACAGCATGCGGCATCTCACCTCGGCTCCATTGTCGATTCCACCCCTTTTCCTATTATTTTCCGCTCTGCTCTCTTTTCATCCGAGAATGGCACAAAAGCGTTCGCCAGTGACATATCAAACGGCGGTGCGGCTCCGAGCTTCAAAGGGATTCAAAAGAAGTGTAAAAAATGCAGAATTCACGCGGATGCTGCAGCAGCCGTAGCAAACTTCAAATTGTTGTTTTTTTCCCTTTAATTGAGTATGACTGATACGCCGTTGAGACACAGGAATTCACAATTCACTGCATAATTTTCTAATCGTAAAATTGAGATTATGAAGTTGCTAATTTTTATTTTAGACATTAATTGACAAACTGAATTCCTCAAATTCTCTACATCATTATTATAATTTTCTTTTAATAAATTATCAGGATATACACATAATAAGAGAAAAAAACAATTTCTAAACTTCAATAAGTTTAATAAAATTATTAAAAAATAATAATTTAAGAAATAATAAAAAAAATTTAAATTTTAAACAGTTTTATATTTTTTTTTAATTATATCTAAAAACTTAATAAATTTTAATTGATTGAAATGTTAAAAAATGCCTGGTCGTTTTCCTTTCCAACTTTCGACCCTTCAATAAATTGCTGCTCGCTTTGATCAATTTCAATTTATGGTGCACAAATCACATGGGCGTCTGAGGTTTCATTATCAGAGAGGAGCTCCTGTGCAACTTGCTCCGTTCTCTCGATACTAACCTTTCAAGATTTATTCTGGTCAACTTGCCAGCCGACTGCATCTCGGGAGCCAGTCAGGAATGCAAATCGGCATTAGCATAAGGCTAAACAAGAAGTATCTCTTGCGCGCGCATGAAAAAAAAGAGAGCGACCCTGAGCGGGCAGATTAGATTATTTATTTTACAAAAAGTAAATAAGGAAAAAAATCATAACCAGTCTTATTAATAATTTAATCTGCTTAACGCAAGCTGCATTCCTTTTTATTACTAAGGTGCTCTCGTTTTCGTCTTGAAAGTCGAATATTATTCTGTTCACTGGAGGTGCGTAGGCTCTCCTTACACTATACCACATGCGTTTATAATATTCTAGATATTCTACATACGGCTCTCGCCGAACGTACGCGGTCTCTTTGATTTCGCCGCCCGGCACTGGATTTATTCTGAATACACAAAGAGATGCTGTGCCTTGTATGAAATAATGATATTCAAAATAAATGTATGCCAGTGGAGTACCTACAAGGGGCTTGCTCGATGTGTATAATAATTCATACACACATATTTATTCCTCTGTGTGAGGAGGAGGAGGAGGAGGATCTTTTGAGAGTCTCCGAAAAAAGAGATCGTGATTGATGGCGCCGATGAAAGGGAAGACGCGAGATGCACTCGGAGAGAGAAAGAAAATGGGCTTCGTGCACTTCTGACAGCAGCACTTGAAACAGCTGGGCTATATTAAAGGGATTATTGGAATTTGTTAAGAAAAAATTGAACTAATAATTCAATGGAATTCTTGAAGGATGAATAGAGAATTAGAAAAAAATAATTTGAGCTGTCAAGTTGGTGATTGCGGCTAAACGGTTTTGTTTTCCTTTCTAAACTTTTAATTTAACGGTGGCTCCTCGTCGGCATCTCAAAATACTTTCCTTATCACTTTGGCGCTGTTTAAGTAGCCGGAGCATTTAATTAAGCGGCGGCGCGCCAGATCCACAATAAAAATCTAAGTTGGGAGTGTGACAAAGGAGGCGAAAAATAAACAGCCATAAATCACGGAATTAACGATGCAGGTTTGTTGTGAGTGTGTGTTGTGAAAAAGCAGCGCACATATAAATTTATCCTCTAACTCTCGAGCGTAGTACCTGTATATGTATTTATGGCCGCGACTCGCCGTTTTATATTCCCGCCTGCAATAATTTACTCCCTTGGCCTTTTTTATTCTCTCCTGCTTGTCTTGCGGGCCGATCTTTCTCTGCTCTCGCCAGAGAGGAGAAGACGAAAACATACCTGAGAAACATCCTTTCCTTGTAACGAGAAGAAGTCCAGTTTAACGAGCCTCGCTTTTCTAATCTCGACTCCCTCATCATCCACATTTTATTCCGTCCGTTCTTGGGGAACCTTTATCGCGAAAAGCATCTCTGCTCTATCCGCTTTGGTCTTGTGTGTTTTGGTTTTTCGGATATTTCTAATATTATTTTTATCGCGAAATCTTCTATTTGGAATTCCAATTTGTTAATTTGCGTTCAACCGGTTTCCTCGGTTTTTCTCTTTTCAAATTCGGAAGCAATTGGCGCGTTGAAGCGACTCTAGATTTGCGTGGATCCAGCTGCCGATACGTGTGCATATGCTAAACAGTTTAGGCGCACAAAAAGCACTCGCCCATTATGCGTAATCTTCGGGCGCTTTTTATAGCCCAATAAAATCACATGTGTAAAAAATATCATCTCTGTCTCTAGTTAGAAGAAGTCGCGGCCGGATGAAATATTATCCATGGCTGGGCTAAATTGGGTGATAAAAATTCACATGGCCCATATATTTTATTAAATAAGCACAGCAGTAGCGTTTATTTAATTTTTTTTGTGCGGCCCGACGTAATTACCGCTATGGAGGAAAAAAATGAAAGGAGCGTCCCTTTTTGTGCTCCAGCAACTGCCCCTGGTGGTGGAAATTTAATTTATAACACATGTGTGATTTATATCATCAAATGCACGACGTTATTATTATCATTTTCATTCGCATGTGTCTGTGTTCCCAGCCGGCGGGAAACGGTTTTAATTCAACTCGTCGACACTGCAATTATCCTCCAATTAAAAAACGCACGCTTCCAATTAACGCCGAGTTTCCTCGAAGGAAATAATTGTCTTGCCAGTGGAGGAAACTGTGTTGACAAAAATCGCTCTATTTAAATCGACAGCACGGGCTGTTTTAATCACCGACGTGTCGCGGTGGCTCCATTATAAATCAAAACAAACATCAAAAGAATTACGGGGAGACAAATTTTTTGTCGCCGACGCGGACGGAGTGATCTTGCGAGTCAAATATTTTAATCATATCTGATGGGTAACATCTGTTTTGGGGAAGGGCGATGAGAAATTGAAGTGAGCTGCGCGGTCCTTGGCAGAAGCGAGAGGAGATCATTCTGTTCAGAAATGTGGTCAAAAATAGACGAGACCAAGAATGAGGAAAATTGAGAGCTTAAAAATTAAACGCAGATCAGAAAAAAGTTGAAATAAAATTAAGAAATGGGTCATGATAATTGTACCAAATTGAAATTTGTTATAATAATATAATAAGAAATCATTTTGAAATCAGAAGAAATTTCTGTTGAGTTTGAAGTGTTATAGTGATAAAATAAATAATCATAAAATACTTCTGCGATTTGAAGGTGTGCAAATTGGCTCATACTTCTTACCACTTATCACTGTGCCAAGCCAAATTGAAATCTAATCTGCGCCGATGGAATGCTTCAGATAGAATTATGTGGACCAGTGTAAATTTAAATATATAGAGAGAAGTTTAAGGTGTTGGGCGCTGCCGACCGTGGGCTCGTCTCAAATAAAATAATCCGAAAACGAATGCGAGCAGACAGTCGTAAACGAATCGGCGGGCGTCAAGTCAAAACAGCACCTCTCTCTGTGATATGGTGCGAGGTGGCCGCGCTTCAAACAATTTTATATCTCATTCAATTGGAGGGAATAAAATGTGCGAGCCGAGTGACAGCGACAAGTCTGTCGGCCGCGTGACAGATCGCTCGACTTCTGCTTGTGCCGGCTGGCGGTCCTGCTGATTGATCACCGGTCGCAGCCTCATGCCCAGCGTGGTGCCCGCTGCATACCTGTTGTGCTGGAATGAATTTTAAGTACATGCGCGGACGATGGATTTATATTATATCGGAGGCGAGCATCTCGTTTTTTTAAGCCCGGCAAGGTTATATGCGCTTGTTTCTTCATCCCGGCGAGGGTTGCTCTTTATTTATTTCTCGCGCGCGCGTGGATTTATTTTTATTTGTCGAGATGGAGCAGATTAATGAGAAAGACTGCAGGGTGTGACCGAACGGGTGGAATTTTTTGTTTTACACACGGGAAAAGTGAATATAAATATAGTCGTTCTGCTGCATCAATCCTCTCTTGTAGAACCTGAGAGACACTAACCAACTAAGAGGATTGGAAGATGCTGATTTTTATCCTCCTGCTTGTACAAACATTTGGTTTTTGTTCACACAAATGCATCAGGTTGTAGAAAAGGAAATTGTTTATTTGAAGAAAAATATCCTACAAGTTAATTAATCAGTTATAACAAAATCTATCAATAAAATAATTCTTTAGCAATTTTGTAGATTATTACTGTCAAAATTTTATATTTAAAAAAAAACCATATATATTTTATTTAAAATTAAAATTAAAAATATCTAGTATTTTTATACATTTATAACTTTTTTTGTATTTTTCTTATTAAAGCTAGAGTTAAGTGAAGTTTTAATTTAAAATAAACTAACAAACAAATTTTTGTGGGATAAAAACAAATATTATTTGCACACTTTCAGTGTTCAATTGTCTACATTATTAATAAATCTGTACTTGGCCTTGGATTTTCATGCTTCATTGTAATTATATTATATCAAACATAATTGATATTCCTAATATTGATCACTAGACCTTTGAACACTCTAACGCAGTCATAAAATTCATTCAATAAATCTGCAAAATTTTACTTACATAAATGAAACAAAACGCAGTTTGAAAAGGAAGTTTTAGTCAATGTCATATAATATGTCATTATAACAAAGAATCTTATAAAACATGATCGATTATAATACATACTGAACTAGAAATAATCTAATATTCTAGTAAAAAAAATTAATTTTACAATATTTATTTGTCTTTTTCTAGGTCTGCAAGCCGAGCTGTACTACATTCGAGACGGTGTCCTGAACCAGTACGCGTTGAAATTCAACGTGCCCATCCCGGCCAACATCTCCGAGCTGAACTTCACGTGGCGCAGCTTGGCGCCGAGACCGGTGAGTTTCGTTTGTCGTCGTCCCTGCCGCACGGCAGCTCCTCAGTCTTATCTCGAAATTTATTCATTAAACCTCCCCCGTTTGCGGGCTCGTCATCTCGCTTATCACACAATGCGCAGCTATTTTTCAAGCGTGGAGATAACGACAGGCAATACATACATAACCACGCGCGTCTCTTTTGTTACACTGTGATGGCTGAAATTTATATATCACGGCGCCGAGGGTGGAACAAAGAGCAGAGGAATTTCGTCCGTTATTGTATATGAAACGCGTTTTATCGAAGTTTTTGGTTTTGAATTTTACACTGCGTCTTCGGGGAGTGACTTGAGATTTTAAATGACAAAAGACGGTGCATTCCCCTCTCTATAGAACGGAAAAGGAAGGAGAAACTCTCACAGGAATTTTACTCCCTTGGGAAAAATTGCACTTTTCCTGTGTGATATAGCGGATGCAAATCCGCTCGATAGACTTCTGCGGGGAGAAAATTAAAAAATGGAGTTTTTTTTTAAATCTACTCTCGCAGGAAATCAAAATTGGAGAGGCCTGTCTCTCATATCTGCATATATGCAAAGCTCCACTGGTGTTAAATTTGAGCGCCCCGTCGACGTTTTAATTAATGAAAGTGACACCACCCTCGCTCTCGCAACTGACTCTCTCATTAAAACTGATGATTCTCAAAATCCAGCTGCCCGGCGTTCAATTCATCCCACATTGTCTCCGAGCGATTCCGGAATTAATCTCAGCGCCGATGACATCACCGACGCTCGTTAGCCGCCCCGAATCCGAGAGGAAAAAAACCACCCCCATCAAATAGATGGTTGCAACAAACGAGCCGATTCTTCTGCGTTCTGTTTGATCGCGCGTCGGGGCGGAGTAAATGATGCTGGTTTATTGGAAAGTGTGTACTTTTGCACCCCTGAGGCGGGGGTGCATTCTAATTGCACGGAAAGTGCTTTTCGAGTGTATAAGAAACGCCTCTGGCTGGAAAAGATACCAAACTCCCTTTCACTTTCTGCGTCTTTGTGCCGGAAAATTTGTTGCCAAATGCTGCGTTTCGAGAAAAGCTGTAGGAATTTCCATCCGAGCGCGCCTGTTTTTGCGAGACAAAGTTCGAGGAATAAATTGCACAGTGTCGACTCCCCTGCGTGCGCCTTTTAACTTCTAACAAGGTGCTGCGGGAGAGTCACCTTATCGCGTCAAATTCTGAATTGAATTAGTTCCGCTCGAGTTGCGCGCCTCGCGGCTCAAGCCGGTGGAAAAAGTTGATGCATCGAAGAGCAATATTTGATGCTCCGCGGCCGTGAGTCGCTTTTTGCCGCGGTAATTGCTTTGGTGGAAGCCGCCTGTGAAAATTGGACCCCATTCAATAGCGCTCTTCATACCAAAGAATAAGAGAGCTCAATACGTGCGTTGCGAGCCGTGCGGGTTTCCACTTCTTGTGGGAAAACTACAAAAGTGCACAGTGAGTCACTTTTTTTAATTTGCTTCGTTAGCAGAAATTTAATTCGCGAGGAGGGTGACAATTAATTAATTCCTGTTGTTTTGACCAATAATAAAATCGTGCTGATGGAAATAATAGCTTTTTATTAAATTATGAGCCGCACATTAATTTCTTTAATTTATTTTTTCCAATTAAATTCACAGTCGAACTCACTAATTACAATTTTTAATTACTTCTTGCCTGTTTAAGAATTTTCAAAGTGGAAGTAATTTGCCATTGTTGACCTCCGTTGTAATATGTGCATAAAAATTTTAACGTGGGGGAATTTGATTTATTTCTTACAGGAACTTTTTAATTAACGATCAGAGTTCTCGAAAATCAATTTTTAAAATATCTGAAACGCTTGAAGCAATAACCAAATTGGTCACACAGCGCTGCAAAATTGCGCAACGACACCCCGAAGACACTTCGCTGAACAACAAATCCATTAATCCAACATCAGTCCTCTTGAGAATCAACAGCTACTCCAAATGACGCTCGCAAGCAGTTCATTTTCCCAAAAGTTCGCCTCTTTGCAGCCGGGGGGTGGAAATTTCTATAATGGCCGCGATTTCCCAAGGGGTGCACCCAAATTTTGAGGGGTGGCAGCGGGCGGTGCGGATAATCAACACATACATACATGCTTGATCCCCGGCCGGCACCTTCTTTCCACATTTATCACCAAGTCTATTGTCGCAGAGAAAAATATTAACAATGCGCGACGCGAAATCCCCCGGCAGCAATAACGACGATTATTTTCCGGGATGAAGCCGTAAAAAGTTGCGCTCATAAAACCACCACCAAAGCTGCTGGACGTGTAAGAATAAATTATACATATATTCGGTACCCTTGTCGATTGTCAGTCCGTCAAAACATATTCATGACTTCACACGAACGAACAAGCCAAGTGATTTTCGTTTTTTGCTCCTCTCGCGCACAGGATGAATCATTTTTCTAATTTATTTTTACGCCCATGCGAGCCGCCGCGTGGAGGCAAAAAACATATTGAATTATTATTATTATGAGTGCCATTATCGGCGCTCGTATCTCGGCCGCGGTATGAAAATGAAAAACGGGCCAGAGCTGCGTACAGAGGCTTTATTTTGACTTGTGCCGCTGCCGAGCTAGATAATTTTATTCATTAAAATCTGGTGTATGAACGTGTTGATGTTTGACAGCTTTCCATCATCCGCTCTTTGTTGCCGCGTCAGTGTTGTTGTCCATTTTGGGAATGGCAAAAAATTTATAATAAAATTCATGATTTATCTTTCATTTCATTGGCCTTTTGCAGCTAAAAATTAACTTACATAAAAGTCGTAATATAGTTTAAAATTTAATAAATCTTGTTTTTTAATAATATAAATAAAATACTTTAAAATTATTATTGAACACATTCTGTTATTTTTTTCATTTAAGTTAGAATTCTGATATGTTTTAATAAAAAATTAATATTTTCCTTATCTCATCAAATTTATTTAAAGCGATTTAAGGAAAAATTAAAAAAATATATAATTAATTCTATCGCATTTACCCCTCAACATTGCATTTATCAACAATGATAATAAGTATTCGTCGCCTGGGAGTAAATTTATAGAATGTTAGTATTCGGTATCATTAAAAATCATAAATTTAGTCATATAATTATCCTTTATAATTACAAGAAAATGAATCAAGGATAAAGCGTGAATAACTATAACTTTCTGGCTTAATGAAATGTAAGGCATTCATTAGTAAAAGCGAACACTGTCCCATCAAGTGGCTGAATTACTTTCAATTTATTTTATGGAATAGCAATGGACTCAATTTTAAATAAATAAATAAAACAACTGCAAAGCCATTTTTCGCACACTGGCAAAATACTATGTAAGCGCCAATTTCCATAAACAAGCTGATAAAACGGTGTCGAGCAGCGGAATGTGTTGGGCCTCCTCGGCTGGCCGCATAATAACTTGATTGTCGGTCTGCTCCAGGATAGCGAAATACGAAATACCGCGCGGCTCGTTTCTTTCTCTCACAATGGCCGGCGCGAATTAAAGCCGGCGATCGGCTCTATCGGAGCGGCGTCTTTTCGCAAATAACGCGCAGACCCCCAACGGCGAGAGCAAACGTGTTGCCGCCGCCGCCACTCGCATTGTATCAATCATCGTCGCGTCCGCAAAGATGCTACTGCAGTTGCCAATTATTTCCATTGCGCTGTCACTTGTGATTAGCGCCAGCTTCGCCCTTTCAATTAACGCGAACGCGATAAGAGAGGCGCGAGATTTCGCTCGGCGAGCCGGATGGCGCAAAAAATTATCGCCTTTTCACCGAGTGCTGCTGGAATCTGGTTTCGCTCAGCGTATATATTCAAATCTGCTGGCCGAGCGGAGGTAATGAGTTTTATATTTATTTTTCAGCCTCATTAGCAACGTAATAAATTGCGCGCGCCTCATCCTCCTGCTACCTCTTTAGCGAGAATGGAATTCGCGAAATGTACTTTTGCGGCGTGTTTTATAAACTCGTCATATACCGACCAACTCATCGCCTTTGATGGTGGAGCTCGTGGGGCGCGAGCTTGTGATTTAATTAGTTTCAGCGAGTGCTCCGTTCTTTTTTGTAAAGAGGAGAGAGCGGAATTCATTTTTCGCACTTTTATGGATGTTGTTGCGAGTGTGGCATGTTGGGGAGTCAAGTGGAGGCAATCAACCTTGAAGTGGAAAAATTTAATGGAAATTTACTCATCAGAGACTTTTAATTTCATCAAAGGAGTTTTATGCAAATAAATATAATTATCAAATAAATTAAAAAAGAGCAAACATATACCTAATTTAATTTTTATTTAATTATTGGTACACATGGATAATATCTGAAATTTTCAAATCGCATTTTTGTCTCTTGGAAAAAATTGGGAATCTCGTTATCAGCTGAAGAATAAGAAAGGCTCGTGACTCATGTTGCCAAACAAAACCGGAGATCAGATCTGCCACATTTCTACACGATTTTCCTTCCAAATTGCATGCACCCCGCACATCAACCAAAGAATACTTCCGTGTCAGCACAAACGTGTACTTTTGGCCACGCTGCGATCGCAATCACCGCTCTTTCGTCGGCCGGTCGAAAAGTTGTGTCGGTCGCACATCAATCAAGCCGCAATCTAACACCACCCCTCGACACACCCCTCCTCCCGCGAGAGAGCCACCCCTGAACCGTATTAAAAATGTAGAGGCCAAATGAAAGCTCGCAGGGGATGCTGCGTATACAATAATCATAATAATTGCAGCAGCGCGCTACTTTCTATACTTCATCCTTTCGCCCCGACACCCTGGCAAATAGAAGTAAATTTCATTCGCCTCATCTTTTGTGTGCGAGGCATTTTCCTTCCAATTGAATGGAGTGAATTGAGAGCAGCCAGCCAACTCATTACGCTCGGCTGGGGGATAAACAATCCAGCTTGTATTTAACAGGCATCCCTGCCCTTGTGTGCCACGGCTGCCTCCCCGTGTTATATTATTCGGATTTCTTTTTTTTTATTTGCATTCGC